GACAAGGTGGAGTGGGTCGTCACGCAGTATTATGCAAAACACACACACATACTAATTTTGGCGTCAAAACATACACATACCACACAACATGAGACTATCTGTATCAAATTAGGTAATGCATCACATACAAAGTTTCATCTGAGCATCACAACGACTCATATGTTTATCCATGATCTCATTATTGCATGTTAATAGTAGTTAGTAACAGTAACTAAAATCTGAGTCTGCAAAAAATTCAAACTGAATAAGCTGTATTACTGTAAGATATAGATAATAATTTTTTAATCAAGACCACTTATTACACACTGGACACTCAGAGCATTGTTAACATTTTGATAGTAATCAGAAGCAAAGAAATCACAGTTTCAGTTTATTTCCTTTTTTATTATTATTACCACTCCAGCCATACTTTTGACATGCAAGTAATTAAGCTGCTCACTTGGGTAGTAATGTTAAAATAAGGTGTTTTAATAATGAACATTGAAACTGCTCATATGAGGTGGTTGTATGTAAGCATGTGATTTGTGATGTGAGTCTTCTGCTTTTTGTATATGAGGACAGCATTTTGTGTTTTAAAGCACAATTCGAGCAAGTCAGATTGACTCTTTGCTTTAAGAGTTTTGCACATTAAAAATATTGAGCCAAAGCATTCATCAAATACTGTTAAATGTCTGAAAAATAATACTTATATATATGTTGGGGGCATGGAGATATGGGTTGTGTTTATCCACAACACCTAAAATCTGAATGTGAGGAGGAGATGATTGGGGCGAGGCAGGGAGAAGTTTCAGGGGTGGTCATGGAAGGGTGGGGTGCAAGATGACTCAGCCCGTGGTGCCCTTCTGAGCCAGCCCCCCCCACACACACCCGACACCGTCCCCAGTCCAATTCCCATGTCCCAGTCCAACCTCAGCCCCCGCCGTGGAGGGACAGCCCATGACTCACTGCATCATGGATTGTGGGGTTTTAGGGAGGCCCTCCTCCACATGTCTCACATTAACACCAACCACAGCCGCTGCTGTGACCTGTCTGGTTTGGGGCCGCCTGATGGTAGGCTGACTAGTTGACAGCATCATCCATATGTTAGAGATACATGTTAGAGTTAGTCAGTGATGTTTTTCTCCTGCAGTAGCGCTGCGGTCGAGTGAGGATTATTGCGCATTTTATGTGTGGGATTTAGCTAATTGATTAGTCAGAGTGTGGTTACCTTTTGAGTTGAGCGTTACCGTGCCAGATTAATGTTCTCGCTTTAGTTTTGTTGTACTTCTGCAAAGTAAAAATTGGCTCCTAGACATTATTTCTGTGTGTAGCATTTGGAAAGTGATGCCCTCTGATTTGTTCCATTAGCATCTGTACTGCCATTTGGAAGGATAAAAAATGACTCACTGACTTTCTCTGTTCTTTTTTTTCTGTTTCTCTAGGCTGTCTTCTCCTCTGTTTTCTACTTTGCTTCAGTCCCACTCTACCAAGGATTTCTGACTATTGGGTGAGATACAAACTGAATGGCGATGACTTTATCGAGAGAGCATTTGGCTGCCTTGTTTCCCTGGCATTTCCTCTGTGTTAAAGCACTGTTGAAATGTGAGAAGGGGAAAATATGAAAGTATTGACTGCTGGACTGATGCATTTCACTGCTGAATCTAACAATGAAATGTGTAAAACGTCTTGTCCATGTGCCATTTTGTTGGGAGCATATTCCCCAATGCTAAGGTCACATGAATTTGTCTGTTTCAGCTATTCCACCATCTACACCATGTTCCCTGTCTTCTCCCTGGTGTTGGACAAAGATGTGAAGTCAGAGGTTGCCATGTTATACCCAGAATTGTACAAAGATCTCTTGAAGGTATTGAATGAACGGTCACACACTGTTACAATGTTACAGCCAAATATGGTTCAGATATACAAAAAATGTGTACGAAAAGTGGGACTATAATTCTATTCCTGTTTTCTTTGCACAGGGTCGACCACTATCTTTCAAGACATTTCTAATATGGGTCTTAATAAGTATCTATCAAGGTAAGGAAGATTTTGTGAGTCAATAACTGCTACCGTAGGAGAGATGTACTCGTAATAACCTAAATAGAAAAACAGCCTCACACGCAAACATGTGTTGGAAGGTCAACATACAATGCAAGCACACTGTGTCATAGAGTCACCACATTACATACATAGAGCCAGCAGTTATTATTTTGCATTCAAACAGTATTTTGAGCCACATTTTTGTCCAGTCATTTGCAGAAGAACAAGGCATCAGATCAGACGCAAAGATGTTGATCAAATGTCCAATTTAGGCAAATAGACAAATCAAAGCCCAACAAACAGATAAATGAAGGTATCTTTTAACAGCCCACACACTTTTTTGTTTTTATTTCTGGAGGATTTTATTTCTTTGTGCAGACTTTGTGAAAAAGCCTGTGGTAACTTTCCGACATGGACCATTTGCAGTGAAAAGGTGTTTACAGGGGCATCATAAGCTACGCCCCGAAACCTTTTATTTATTTCTGTCAAAACATGAACGCTCCATTTTATGATCTTAAGCTACCGTATGTTTCCAAACCACAGCTCTCTATGTTGGTATCACTTTGCTCACTGTTTCTTACACTGTACCTTCTCTTTGTACGTTCAATGTGGTGAAATAATTCAAAAGGTACAGGATACTTTACTGCTCTGTGTGTATCTTTCACTGCGTTTTTTTAGCTCCTCACATGATCTTGGCACACAATTAAGGATTTATCTATTCCCTATTTTCTCCCACGCAATCAGATGGGCATGTCCAGGGTGTGTGTTTAACATCAGTGAGACTAGCTACACACTGAGCACCATCCTTTTCAGTTAGCTGTTAAACTATACGGGTACCTAGCTGGGACTAATTTGTTAAACTACACCAGCTATATAATCCTATTACTGTACTGCATACTGCTGTAGCATCACTATATAACCTCAATAATTTAGCTGGCAAGATAACACTCACAAAGCTAGCTGAGAGCCTGGTGCTCACTGGTCTTTAGCTGCTAGGGTTTTCAGGTAAGCTATCTAGCAACAGAGTGATCTCATTTTCTGTAGATTGTATTTACCGCTGATGTTGGAAACACACTCTTGACCAATCTCTTATCTGGACATGCATGCACAAGCATATCCTGTAGTCAAACCATAATATAAGCATAAGGAAAATTGGAATTGTGGTGAGGACAATGGGGAGCTGTGCATGCAGGAGAAAAGTATAAAGCTTGATCTTTCTTTTTGACTCTGATAACTGTTCACTGCCTTCCGTCGCTTAAGACCTCCATAGCTCGGATCCTGCAGCATAGTATTTCATTCACTCTTCAATCACTTATTTTTCTGCAGACTAAAGATTGACTGTATTGGGTAAAGGAAAGGATAAATGTTGGCGTTAGTTCTTGTGAAGTGCTCACTCTCGGTTTATGGCCTCCTCTCACTCCACAGGGAGCATCATCATGTACGGGGCACTGCTGCTCTTCGAGTCAGAGTTCGTCCATATCGTTGCCATTTCCTTCACCTCTCTCATCCTGACTGAGCTGCTGATGGTGGCGCTCACCATTCAAACGTGGCACTGGCTCATGATAGTCGGCGAGCTCCTGAGCTTGGCCTGCTACGTCGCCTCACTCGTCTTCCTGCACGAGTTCATAGGTGAGCAAACACAAGCACACGTATACATAAACTCATACTTCACCCTGCACAGAAGGTGACTCTGAGCCTGCAGCGGTGTATATCACTGAGACAAGAAAACAAATGCAGTCTGGGTTCATTTCACTGCAGCCTGATTGATATATGTGCTTTTGGCGACCTTGAAATAGTACGTCAGCATTCAGCAGTAAGGGGGATCTGCTTGTTCATATTATGCCTCTGGTGTACAATAAGCTGTGGCATGCTGGATATTAGGAAAGCTAAAGGTGAGTGCATTGACAAATTTTCCTGGTGTGGACGAGACTCAGGCATACCGTAGTATCAAAGAGGAAATGCCAACAGTCCTGTTAGCTTCCTGTGGACCGCCAAGGTTCATGTGTTTATCACAGTAAAACATAGTGTTAGATAGAAAACACTGGTTGTGTTCAATGAGATTCAAAGCCATTAGAAACATAACATTTGTAGCAGAAGAAGGGTATATTGTTGGTGTTTATATTACTTTATTACAGCCTGCATGTTGTCAGGCTATTGGCTTATTTTTTTCGCTTGCTCAAGTAAATAAATGTCCAAGTTTAGTTAGTGCCATATTAAGCCTTGTGACATATACAATACTCTAACCCAGAGCTTTCCAAGCCTTTATTTTCAGCTTTATGTGGGGCGTGGAGTTGTATTTTCAGCCTACAATCTCCACCACCGACGATCATGACTGGCATGTGGTCAAGTGTACCCTTTTTGGACACTTTTCCTCCCTCTTGAAGTCCAACTGGAATAGATTTTAAAGGCTATTCTTCTGTTGCGTGTGCAGCTTACACACTTAATTTGGCTTTTTCCAAGAACATTTGTTTGAAACTGTTAATTTTTCTGTATCTTGCATTCAAGGACTGTTATGGTTCCAACTCAGAAAGATTTTCCCAAGAACTCCAGAGAGAAATTATAGTTGAGTTTTTAATCACTTTTAACATACTATACTTGAGGTTTTCAGTTTGTGTGGCGCACCAGTCTGTGTCAGTCTCAGGTGAATGATGGTGTTCTAAAAATAACAGGACAGTCAGCCGGTCAGTGGAAGGCAGTTGGAGTTGCAGGGGCGGCCTGACCTGATTATTTAACAAGAAATTAGTCTAGCTGTCAAAAAAATTACAAAAAAATATTTTTTTTCCATTCAGAACTGTTAAATGATGCTTCTAAATCTCTGTCTGTATCCTACAATCTCATTCTAATCTTTGACTCTTCGTCCATGCCAGACGTATACTTCATCACCACAGTATCATTCCTGTGGAAGGTGACTGCCATCACGCTGGTGAGCTGTCTGCCGCTTTACATCCTCAAGTACCTCCGCAGACGTTTCTCCCCGCCGAGCTACTCCAAGCTGACCTCTTAAAGACTGAGAGGAACCTCCGGCCTCGTAAACGAAAAGGCGTCCGTGTCTTCATCCAGCAGAGCCCGTGCTTAGACCAGAGAATCAAACATTGGATTCATCCCCTTTAATTTGTGAGTTCCACCTGGAAATGAGTGACAGACAATTCTGTCAGGGACAGGTCGTTTACTGAGAGAAAGAGTTTGGGTTTAAAAGCAGTGTTTCTTGCTACACGTGTTTGATGCAAAGACTAACTGATGATTTCTGCAGTAAATTTGAGTTCATTTAACAGACTTATTTATTGTCAGCTGTCGTCTCAGAATTATGAATAAAAAAGAGTCCTGAACAGAAATGTTCAGGACTCTTATATATATATAGGTTTTTTTTTTATGTCAAAACTCACATCAAGGAAAGTAACTGGAAAAGTTGGATGTCTCACTCTTCTGTAGATGTGTCATTTGGGCTGGAAACTAATTTTCTCTAATTTCCAGTTCTTAAATAGTAAAGTCAGTTTTATTGTTAGACACTGAAATTGACGTAGCATTCTCACTCAGGACTTGATTCACACTCTCCTTAAACATCAAATTCTAAATGGAGTTTGAGAATTATACGGTTAAAAAAAAAAAAAAAAGTTTACTGGCTAGACTTTGCATAAAACACACGTCTGCAAGTTTGTGTATTTGTTTATGCGTCACCGCGATGCTACAGCCCTGACACGGCGGAGGTGGTGTGGTTGTTTATTTTAGCATGACCCGTGGTGTCTGATGTTAAATCTGTCTTTGTCTCTTTGTACGGACCCTGAGTTGTTAGTGTTTGTGGAGCGCGGTGAAAACAGCCACAGAGGAGTGTTGGTTATTTGCAGCCGAAAACCTTCCGCTGGGGCTCCCAACTGGCTGTGTGTCCACAGGGGAATGTCGCAGCCTCTCATGTGGCTGCTCAGCAGGCCAGCACCGGCCACGCTTCAGCATTGCATGATGACTCACTGTAACAGTGACCTAAAGCCATAACTGAAAATACCCTGGTGAACGGCGTCCAGCTGCCCCCTTTCATGTCGTCTAATCCAGGGCCCCATCACTTACTACTAACCTCCGCAGTTCAGCTGTGAAAGAAAAAAGGGATCAAATCACCTCTCTTCAGTCAGATACAGTGTGAATATTGTCAATAAGTATTACTACTGCACATTGAAAGAAAAAAACTGATATGACACTACACTCCTTATATTTCATTTCATTAGTGGCGTGAAGGTGGAGATACTGTAAATAATTAGCAACTAACAGAATAACATGGCCGCACTGTCACTTATTTCAAATGAATTCAAACGTCGTTTCAGTTCAGTTCAGTACTTTTTCTCATGTGACTCGATGAATGTTGATGTGTCAAACAGAGCATCCAGGGTGCCATAAACTAATCATTTCAAAAAATATGTTTAACTAAACTTTTAATCCCCGCTGGATTCAGCAAGCTTTTTGCACAGTTTTGTTTTGTACAACTGATTGTTATATTTTTATGTTGTAATAGAATTGCAAAAACAGAAATGATGCTAAAATGATTTGGTTGCTTGTAAATAACCTGTTTTTTTTATTTATTAACATGTTTTATTTAATGGTGTTGATTGCACTCAAATGAGCAGAACAAAAAGGGAGAATTGTGTTGATGTCAATGTTGTGCTGATGATTAATAAATCTCATGTTTTCTTTTCTTGTGCCATTGTTTCTTCCACTTGACAATTTAAAAAGGCTTCATGTCCGGACAGCCTGGGGTTAATTTATGCTTTTATTATTATAAATCTCAGGAAAAGATCAGATGTGTGGGGCGCCCGGATAGCTCACCTGGTAGAGCTGACACCCCCCAAGCACCAAGGCTGAGTCCTTGCTGCAGCATCCATGGGTTCAACTGATATATGGCCCTTTGCTGTGTGTCATCTGCTCTCTCTCTCTCCCCTTTCCTGTCACTCTTTAACTGTCACTGTTGATTAAAAGCAAAAAAATATATATAAAAAACGATTCTGGGTCTGAATCCTTTCCAATTGTCTTAGCATGTCTGTAGCGCTCAGCCCCAAGTACATTTGTTAAAGAATAAAATCTGGCGGGGGGGGTACTTTTATTTTTATGAAGAAAAAAGCTAGGGGCACTGGTGTGTAACAAATGTTACTCATACAGAATATATTTGTTGGGGAGTATTTTCAGCTGTGGATTAATATACATTTGGTGCTCTAGTGAATATTTGTGGCAGCAGGATGTTGTATGTGAGTCATCATAGACTACAGTGTGTGTGTGTGTGTTCATGTTAAAGACAGAACATGTTGCCCCAAGCAACAGTGTGGCTCATTGAATGTTTTTAATAGTTTTTGAACAACAGTGGAGTTTTATGACACAGAGGAGTGATATGTCAGACCGTAGATACAGACACACAACACTTTCTTTTTATGGGATTTGTTGACAATAACCAAAACAGAATATCTCAGACTTATCCTTTAAGAAGGCTAAATTAACTTCAGAAAAACCATTAAAAAAAAACCTTGTGATAAGTGTTTTGCTAAAGCTTAAAGGACTTCTATGTAATTTTGAGGTCTTGAAAAATTGTGAAACATCCACACAGTATAACAGTGGAGCTTAATGTGGCTTAATGACAATTTCATGAATTATAAAAGTTGATCCAGCTGAGCTCAGTGTGGTCTATCGTGGCTTAGTGGCCTCAGACTAATAAATCAGAGTGAAATTAAAAAGCGAGGGTACCCCGCAATGTGGCTGTAGACATGCTGCAATAAGAATAGTAAGTAAATAAGAAAACATGTTTTTTTTGTGAATGAAACAAAATGTAATACTTTTTCCAGGGCATCCCTCATACATGGAATCCATCATACAGTTTGTATGCAAAAACAATTATGGTTATTATGGTGGTGTTCCACATCAGTCCAGTTTCTGATGAGGTGCAAGTTACATGGGCCATACATGCAGCTGGAGGAGGGTGTCTGGCACTCTCTCACCAGAGGAGGGAGTCCCTGAAGCCTGGAGAGGCTGCTGTGTTTTCACTCTCCTTCACTCATGGTTACATCCATACACGTCTCAGGTAATCCACAATCTCAGGCTTTGACATTCAACATTAAAACATTACCATCAAGAATCAAAAAGAAAAGTAGTGTAAGACTTCATTAGAAATGTAAATCACTAAAACATGTCATATTTTTTCTTTGAAATCAATGTCCACACTTAGTTTTAGTTTAAGATTTTAGAAGGAACTTTGTTAATTATCCATGTAGGTTACAAGTTATAAAAGTGTTGGAGCTTACATGGCGTCTCAGACCAAAGATGGTTTTAGTTGGACTAGATTCTCAGTCATAAAATCTTTTCCTTTTTTTAACATGCAGTCAAGCACCTCAGTACTGCATGTTCGAATTAAAACTACAGTGTATGTCCAACTTTTTTTTCTTGTTCCACTGCCCAAATGCGTAAGTTATACCATTAAAAGAAACCATTTAACTTAATCAGTCCCATGAAAAGTGAAATTCCACTCCAGAATCAACAGAGCTGCCTGCTAACCTTAACATTCGTGGTCTTTCCTCCTCTCTTAAAGCCAGCTCTGGAGCCAGAGCTGGTCCGCTGCCAAATCCACAATCCAATCACAGTCAAAGTAAATTTTGAAATTTACTTTGCATTTTATAAGGTTTGGATTTTTTAGGCTTTAAAGCAAGGTAGCTTACAGTTGTTGCGTAACATATCCAGGCTAATTATCACGAGGTCGGTGCATTTTATCTTTGGCACTTCTAGACAGGAATTTGTTTCCAGCTTGGAAACATCTTACACGCTGCTCCCAATGGAAAAGTGCAAGAGAAAGAGAGAGAGAGAGAGAGAGAGTCTGCCTTGAATGTGCTACAGAATATACCACAAACTGTCACAGGGTCCTGACTGGAGCGGTTAATACAAATGATAGCATGGAACCATGTGGATTCCATACTCAACCTTCGGGCCAAGGCGACCACATCAACGAGGTCACTGGGCCTTCGCCAGCCTCCCGGGGAGAACACTGAACCTCTGCAGCACAGCTTGGGCCTGAGGTCAGCTGTGCTTCTGCGCCACGTCTGATTGGCTAACGGGCCTAATGAACCAACTCAACAATAACTCTCATTTGCATAACGCTCCTTGGATTATGTGCCACATTAAACTTGTCTGCTTAGAATCAGTGGGTTGTTTGGAAATAACAGAATCCCTTGATGGATGATTTGGAATGACACCAAATAATGAACAAGCTAGTGCAGATGAATTGTTTACTACACACTGTTATTGCCCTGTGTAAACATTGGATTTTGGCAATGACAGGCCCCTCACAGAAATATTGCAAAGCATGAACACACACCCTCCTCTGGCACTATTTATAGCTCCGTGGGCCTGGAATGCTTTGATTTGTCTTAGCACCCACGACTGTTAAAGAAGGGCTGCAGATGTGTTTCCCTGCCTCTCCCTGTGATTTCTAATGACACTGTTAATGCCTCCCAAAACAAATGGACGAAACCGCCCAAATCACTTTAAGACCGACTGGATTAGATAAATTTTTAACTGGTGCAACGCGTGATTAATTGTGATTGTTGAGGCTAAACAGTCAGTTGTTGTTGTGAATAAAGCTGCAATGGGAAGAGGGAGTTTTTCTTTCTGCTGAAATACTGAATATGTGCGTTCCATGCTATTTTACCTACCAAATATTGACTTTTTTTCATGTATATTGTGCTGATAATACATACAGAGAGACATTAAAGGTATGAACTACTGTAGGATGGAATTGAAAACCTGGACAAGACAGGAAATAGTGTCGGGGTGATACTGTTTCATGGGATTTTATAATGCTGTGCTCAGAAGGGAAAAATCCGTGAGCTAGTCTGCCACTTTTCCACTGGACTTAAGACATTTGAATTCTCTCTACAAACATTTGAGTATTGATCAGAATCCTATTACATAATGAGGCGGTTTCATCCAGCGTGGATGTATGTAGTTTCCATGTTGATGGAACATATTAGTTCATTCGTACAATTTGGAAAAAGAAGGAAAATGTTTCCAGGGATCTCAAGTTGTGGCAGGAAGGAAATAAGATTCCTTATTGCACAATGACATGCCAGCACTGCCCACACTAAAATCCTGTCAGTAGTGGTCTCAGCAGCTACAGCGCTGCATGTCTAACATCTATGATAATTATGAAACAGAACCTAATTTAATTACGCTGCTTCATCATTAAAAACAATCCACAAATTCCTGGATTGTGTGCTACACTCCTTTAAAACAGCCTATTTTTAACCTACCCACTGTTTGAGCTTCACTGTGGAGGATGATGAATGTGCAGAGTTTGACTTTTCACATTCATCTGCTGAAGAGGGAAAGTTTCTCTGTACTTTTAAAGTTTACGTATGATGAGCATTTTCACAAAGTTTGGATTAATTATGAAGCCGATCATTGTCGTATTTCCAACTTACACAAACGGGATGCGGAAGCTTTTATCCTCCAGTGCATGTACACTGAGATAGGACTTAAAATATCTCCATATATATTATTGGCTCTCTGAGGAGGGGGGGGGGTTGAACAAAAACAAAAAAGAAAAACTGTTTCTTTAAAGGCAAAGTTTAAGATTTCAGGAAATTAAGTTAGCCGGCAGCTGGCTAGTGTATTTAGTGTGAAAACATTATCGTAGAGTGGTATCAATCTTTTTATATAACTCTCTGGAAGAAAGCTAATAAGCATATTTCCCATATTGTCAAACTATTCCCTTAAAGCAGATTATTTTTGTCTGCCTTGTAAAAAGATCTTTACTGATGTTAGCAGCATCTACGCTGACCTCTTTAGCAGCCACAATACATTTTTTCGAGCAACACATCGACACACATATAGTGTTAAACCACACCCGTAGATCATGCCATACCAAAGGACGCTGAAAGCACATAGCTTTAAGCCTGGCAGATCTTAATTTTGCTTGTTTTCTCGAGGAAACAAAATCATTAACTTCTGATCTCATGATGACAGCTTTAAATAAAATAACCACAAGCACGGCGGTTCTAAAGATATAATAAAGTTTAATCAGTGTTAAATGCAATGGAGAAAAGTGCAACACACTTGACATATACGAGAGCAGATCAAACGTACGAAATGGAGGCAAAAGTCCATGCCTCCCTTTGCCCCCTGAATTTCCTTGGAAAGATTTCCATGAGACACGATACAATGTACTATTTCCATATCGAAGTTCCACTGCTTGGATTTAAAAGCTCAATCACACATGTTACACTTGGAAAACTCGAACAGGGCAATGCTCTAACCCAGACAACTCTACCTCAATGAGCTGTTTTTACAGTGATGGAAAATACTGCATGAACTTGGAAAAAGTGGGCTCTCCGAGGAAAAAACAACAAAAAAAGACGGAAGTGCAAACTCGGCCGTCTGGACACAGGCGGTTTTCCTTTCTTAAACGTGTGCCGTTTTCATTAACTCATTCATAATTTGGAGTTGCATAAGTGTTCCGTAACAGTGGAGGAATTTACATCTGGTAGACAAGGCTGCTGGATGGTTACCCCCAAAACGAAAGCTCTGGTCACTGTGGTTTACAGACTCATCGCAGTCACCTTGCTCACCCCCCTCTCAGACTAATCCATGTCTCAATCCAAAACAGATCCTTTGATTACCCCCGCCTCCTCCCCTCTCTCAAGTACACACATTTTCCTATGAAAGGCTGTGGGTCTGACATGACTGATGTAAGCACGGGATCAGTCACTGAGGCTGTGCAGAAGGTTTAGCACATGAAATCCAGTGAAGATGTTCCACTCTATAGGCTGAGACAGAATAAACGTTCTTTTTCGGTTTGTATCAAATAGCTGAATGGTGCGAGCCCTGCCAAATGTACTATGTGAGGGTTGCAGGAAGTCAGTCAGAGCTGGGAGGTGCTGGGAGAAACTTAATGTCATAAACGCTGGGGGCTTTTCGTGCTTATTTCAATGTCCAGAACTTATATATAAAAGTTATTAACAACAATTTCAGAATATTTTACAGAAAGAAAACTTGGAACTGCGACATACTGTATGTCATAGCAGCCTCAGCAACTACACACAGCATATGTTGTATGTTATGTAAAATGAATACTTTGCCAAATCTTTTAGAGCAAGCTTTAGTTGCCAGATCTATTGTGAAACCAAGAGCTATAATCCTAATCACATGATACATGACACATGAAAGTGTCACTGTACTTATAGCTACATTATATACTAGCTGACTGTACTGAACTCTCTCCAGCGGTCTGTCTGTCAGGCTCATCAGTGCCGATCAGTGGGACACTTGACAGCTGCTGCTGTGAGTCCGCATAGCAAGGGATAAAATAATGGATTACTACATGTGATAATAAACAGAAAAAAGAAGGTAAAGACTCACTTCATGCCACAAATACTTACAAAATATCACACATATATCAGATAGAAGCAATTATTCATACATTGATAGATGGATTGAAGATATAGGGTGTTAATTTATGAGCTTTAGTGGTGCTGGTAGTCCTTTGGACAGTGGTAGGCTATATATAATTTCATCTGACTCAAGAAAGCATGTAAGTGTATTTGTAGCAAGATAGTTTGTCTCAAAATTGGATCAAAATCTCCTTTAAACAGAAGCAGACCACTTTATCCACATAGTGGACATTTGGAAAGTTGATCCTCAGTTGGGTCAAGTTCAAAAGGGAAATGAGTTTGCTAAATCCAATCATTCATTTCTGGATTTTCTTTTTTTTTCATCTATATATTGAAACCTAAAGCGCTACACTACGAGCACAGCACTGCACTGAAAGCACCAGAGCAGGCGTTGACTCATGGTACTGGAACAGTAATGTATAGTTTAACTTGGCACATGTGGCTGGTTTATTCTACAGCTTCCCCTCCTGGGCAATATGTGAACTTGTTAATGTTAAACCAGCTTCCCCCGAAACACACTTTCAACTACCTGTTTCTTGACTTAAGCAAATGTATTCAGGAGGAATTTGAGCCTACCTGTGTGCTCTCCACTACCTGAAAACACCTCCATTTATTACTTATGATCGTAAAACTGTGGCAGTTTACCTAAGGCAGTGACCTATAAACTTTTGTTTGCCTGCCCGGATGAAGCACATACAGATCAGCTGCTGCTTGTCGAGGTTCAAACGTCTCCTTTCAGCTCTCAGACCGGCTGATTTAAGCTGTTAGAACTTTAAACTCATCTGTTTAGAAACTAGAAGGAAACCCCAACAGACGAGAGTTACAGTATTTGTTCTCGGCAGAACATAAACTGAGACATGACTCAGACATGTATATACTGTGTTTGCCAACACTGGAGTAAGGGCAGTGTGGGATTTAAAGTAGCAGTTCACCGTGAAATGCTGTTACACACTGTTATACAAGAGATACTTGTGATTTATTCAAAGAAGTTCAAGTCTGGGACTCCACAGTTAAAGGCTTTGTGTGTTTCAGTGACCTGTGGTACCCTCCACAACACAAGCAACTAATGAAGGTTTGTGTGGGAATGAAAAAGTAAGTCTAAAGTATAGTTGTAGCCTATAGGATAATTCCAAAATATCAAAAGTCTTTTTTTCCCCCTTGGATGCTAACTTATGTAACTTTTATTGCAATGGAGAACTTGTCCCCTGACTTGTGGGGTCAGTCTATGTAATGGTCTTGTTCAAGCTTTTTTTTTTTCCCCCAGTCAAGTATTGGAAGATGTTGCAGATTTCCATTAGGAAATGGAAACGGATAGTAGCTTCTTCCCTCAATGGGAACAATGGAATTCTCTATATTCCATGTTCAAAAACGTCAACTAACCACAGCCACTTCTTAAATTACATCTAAACAAACAGACATCTCAGAGCTGCCTGCTCTACGATCATTCACAAACTGGAAGACACACTGAAGTGCTAGACAGAACAGTCTAGAAAACGGTGTAAAATAAATTTCATGTAGTGTATCCTGTAATCAAAGCTCAGAACCATTTCTCTCTCTCTCTCTCTCTCTCTCTCTCTCTCACTCTCCCACAGCGTCCTACAGTAATTTCTTCATCCCTACAATGAAGTTCTTGTGTGCTACTGTCTGAGAGAAGCCGCAGAAATGCCTTGGCGCTGGAGCCGGAGACGTCATGGATTCCTGAGTGTGGGGCTTTGCAGGAAAGCCCTGAGTCTCCGACATGGACCCGCTCCAGGTTTCCATGGCAAAGGCGCACAAACAGGAGGAAACACTGAGGGAATCCCGTTATTTTACAGCATTGGACCATTATAAACACCCAGAGCGGGGAAGGAAGCCGCTCTTGATACTCAAGTAATCCTTATAGAGCTCTAGGAAGGGAGACTTCATACCAGAACCAGTGCTGTAGCTGGTGCGGCTGCATGTTTTTTTGACAAGAAAGGGAGTTTGCGCGCAGCTGCCGTGTCGCCGCTTGAAGTTTCTGAGCGTGTACAGAAAGTTTTTCCTCCCTGTTTCGTCGCTTTTCAACAGTTTTTAACCGAAGAGAGCTTTTTCTGCTATGGTTGTTAGCGGAAAGTAATTTTTTCTTTTTTCTTTATTTTTCGCTTGTTTTTCTCTCCAGATGTTTAGAGAGACTTGGAGGCTGGCACAGTACCACACCATGAGGTCGATGGATCAAGGTACTGCTGAAGTGTTGTGATTATCTGGTAATCAAATCATTTGATTTTTATTTGATAGAGTAGTGTTAGCCCTGGAGTGTTTAGGCCTGTAGTGATGTGAGCTGTGATGTTGTGTTGTCCGCTGTCTGTCTAACATTTAGGAGATAGTTGGGATGTTGATGTTTTGGGAAGAGACGCTGTTGCGCTTTCACTGATCGACGCACAGCGCGTGTCTTGGCATCACAGGGGAAACCCGTAGGTATTAGGGGGAGAGGGGGGACAGGGAGACAATTAAATACAGCAGCATGTAATTGTAGTAGTAGATAGAATACTCCAGACTTTATTTTATCTGCGCGTAATGGGAGAAACAGTTTGGATTAAAAGAAATGTAATATGTTATGACATGCTATCAAACTTAGTTTGAGCATGAGAGTTACATTATGACATCAGTGTGGAATATGAGAACAAAGAGAGCAAACATTTTATTTCCAAATCACCTGATTCTACCTGATTACTGCATTAATAGTGTGATTACAAACTTTCTGGTACTAATACTTTTCATGTCACATTCATGTCACATTCTGTCTGATATGGTTCATTTGGGTTGCATGTCCAAATTAACCCAATATCGCTATTGAAAAATGCTATGCTGTCGTTCTGTTTGTTTTGCTGACTGTGCATACATGCTACTGGCCCACCGGGTGGAAGGCTGGAAGGAACGCCCCACTATCTTGCGCCGCGTCGTGCGTAAATCTAGGGATTCCCTCAGGACTCCCAACCTGTGCACATTTTAGGGAACTGTGAAAAAAGATTTTAGATTTCACGAAACACGAAGTGGTGCATTTTGATGTGTGTGTCTGTCCACTCTGTTCTCCATTCGCCCTCTACTTGTATGTGACAGCTTCCAACCCTGTTTTAATGGGGAGTTGTAAGACAGGTGATGAGCCCAGTCAGCACCCTGCTGTGTCACTGCAACATGTCAAACACCCGGGGGCAGCAGCAGCCTGCACAGTCTGTCAAAAGACTCCCAGTGATGTGTCTGAATGGGGGCAGCCAATTCATCTCTCCCAAACTGCACTTTTGCTTCTTTTTTTTCTTTTTTATCTTCGACGCATCAGCGATCAGAGGAGGCGTGATCAGAAAGAGATCAACTTGAAAATTCAGTGTGAAAACAGACCCGCCTCCGTCTGAAAATAACTGCGGCGAGCAGAAACAGGAAACTTGTGCGCTTCACCTTTTCGCAGTTCACCGAAGCATCATTTGACACTCGAACAGGTTCCTTAAATCCACATCAGCGCCGCAACACCTCAGCCGCGTCCCCGTCGCCTGGCCTGAACTCCGAGGAGTCGTTAGAAATAAAAAACTAAAACATTTAGACAGATGACCGCTTTTTACGACGAGAAAGATTTGGAGGAAGAGCTCAGTCGAGTCAACTGCCCTGATGAGGATTTGGAGTTTGAGTACTTGTTTGAATATGAACCGCCTTGCAGCGACTTTGCGGGAGGAAATCAAGGTTTGTCCAATGCTTTTTGGCACCTGAGCTGACTCCTCTCCCTCTCTTGGTTGTTTGGGGGCTCTTCGTTAATATCTGGCCTGCAAGCTTATTTCATGTGAATGAAAAAGAAAACCAGGAAGTAAATTTGACATGCTTCTTGATGAGGGTTCCGACGTGGAGTAGCCATGTGGGAGAAAATGTCAACATGCAGAAGTTTTTCAGCTGAAATCTGTTTTATAAAAAAAAAAAAAAAAAGTTAAAAATAAACTTGAATTGAAAAATCAACCTAATCTTTCTCTGCAGGTGAAGTTATCAGTGTCATTCAGAAAGGTGCACATTAACGTTTGTAATAAATTGCAGTTATTATTGGAAATATCTCTTTGTTTTGTCTTCTCTGTAGCAACACTTTTTTTTTCAAATGTGTGTTTTGTGATGATTTAAATGTTTTCCTCCCCTCTGCAGATGATCCCAACCTTGCATCTCCCAAAGTCCTCAGTCCTGAGTCTGAGCAGGCTTTCCCTCTGGAGGAGGCTTCCCCATACGGCATCAAGTCCTGCAGTTCTGAGGTTCTCTCAGGATATGAGAACCAGGAAGCCCGACACTACCTGGACAGTACCCGGCCTGCAGGACTGGCCCTGAGCCCGCGGATCGAAATCACCCCCTCCCGTGAGCACTACAACCATGGTCGGGACTCCCTGCAGAACCACCACCTGAACATTAGCCCCAGACCCACCCTCACCGTGCCTGGCCATGAAAACCTCGCCTACCGTGAGCCCCAGTGCTTGAGTCCCGCCAGCAGCAACTCCTCCACCAGTTGGCACTCGGAGAGCTACTCCCCCTGGGCGTCTCCTTGTGTGTCCCCCAGCAGTGGCCAGAACCCCGGAGACCTGTGCCCCAGATTACAGAACATCCACACTGGCTCCCCGCGCACCTCCCCAGGCACCTCTCCTGGCACCAGCCTAGCTGAGGACGGTTGCCTGGGACCCCGGTCGCCCTCCCCCAGACCCGGCTCCCGCTCCACCTCCCCACAGGGAAAACGCACCTACGACATGTACAGGAATCCAGGCCTAGTCCCAGGGCACCGCTCCCGCAGTCCGTCCCCTCACAGTGGCCATGAAGATCACAACATAGGGGCCCACTATACACACAGCAACCTTGCTGATGGTATGAATGGTTTTGGCACGGGTCAGCCAGGCCTGGTGCCCACTAAAATAGTCAAGACGTCCAACCAAGTTTACACTCTGTACCCAGAGAACCACATAGAAGGGAACTACTTGGTGTCCTGCGACCAGGACATAAAAAACAAACCTGCTGCAGAGCCTTTCTTTGTTATCCCCCCAATCTGGCCCAAGCCGCTGGTTTCCAGCATCTGCAGGTAAATTAGCAGGAAGGCCAGCACTTACTGCTTATGGCTAACACACACACACCACACAAGATACATTTACATCTTACATGTTCATAACTAATGTATTCTGTCCCTTTCTGTATCCTTCATGTTCTGCAGCATCCCTGTGGCTTCTCTTCCCCCGTTGGAGTGGCCGATCCCCCGTCGCACAGACCAGTATGAACTCCACATTGAGGTGCAGCCCAAGCCGCACCACAGAGCTCACTATGAGACGGAGGGAAGCCGGGGTGCAGTCAAAGCCCCGACAGGAGGACACCCCGTTGTGCAGGTACGGCCCAAATCAGGATTAAATGAACAAAGTAGTTGATCTCATTTAAATCAGTGCCAAAATATGAATTTGAATGAACACGGCAAATCAAAGGGCTGAGTGACCATATGAAGGCATGTTGTCAGGTTTGTCCATTAAATTAGCGGTCCAGTGTGGGAGCCTCAGGCAGCCCTGATGGCAGGGCTTGCGTGTAATGGTATTTCCTACTCATTATGCACTCAGTGCTGGTGTTATTGCCCAGGGCCAGCTGTATGAAAATGACTCTATGTGAGTTACTCTGTGCCACTCTCATAACACCATTCCTTTTTCTCACTTTTTAAAACAAATCATAAAGTGTTGCCCACACTGTAACCACCTGGTAGCCTCATGACAACCCTCAGAATTGAACCCAGGTCACTGAGCAACACAGGCTCTTTTTTTCTGCCTTTCAGCTTAATATAGTCTGCTGTTGTCCGCCCTGTCCCCCAAGGGTTTTAACCACACAAACAGATCTGTGTTCATGCTGTCCCTGACTTCCTCTTACACACGAGTTTGTTGACTGTGTGGGTCTGGTATTAGGAAGCTGACTTAAAGTGTTGAAACGCTCAGCCTCTCGATATGTGTAAAAAGAAAAAAAGAAAAAAAAAAAGAATAGTGCCTGTGGTTAAGATAATAGTGGATCAGGAAAAAAAGTTGCTATTATTCCTCTTATAGTCACAACACAGAATTCAAACACAGCATGTTGAAATTAGCTGTGACACACTTACAGCTGGCTGTGTTGTCCAAGAATAGGTACTACTTCCCCTTCTTTGTGTTACCATGGCAACATTTCACAGCTGTTTTTGTTGGTGATAGTAGGGGCTTGTTGGAAATAAAGCTTCCCTTCCCTTTTCCATTTTCTGCCCATCCCCAAAGGCCTCACCCTGAGGTCAGTCTTGCCTGGTTTGCCAGGCCAATCAGATGGTCAGGCCTGGCTAGCCACGGCTGCACTCCTTCACCTCGTCTTTCCCCTTCTCCTCCTCCTTCGCTCCCTCTGTTTTTCCTTCTTTCTTTCTCTCCCTCTCTGTGACTCTCTCTCTGAGCCTCGTACCCTCCACTTTTCCTACACTGCTCTCTGTCATGACTCACTGCTCCTGCCACTGCTATGACAACCGGCCGACTGCTCACATGGCCTGTTGAGTGTTTGCAGCCAGCTTCCTCTGTTTCACTCTGTGTGTCAGCTACCTGGATATGGAGCCAGCGTGCTCGTTCACGTTGCCATAGTTGCTGCTCACATTCAGCAGCTGCTGTGAAGTCTGTCAGTTACATCCACAGAGATAATCATTTCTAAAATGTAATTGATTTACATGCTGTGTGTACTTTTTCTGACTATAATTTAAAGGAACAGTCTAAATAGGTAAAAAATACAATCTGCAGCTCTTTAAGCATTGGATATAAATGAAATACATCTGATTTTAAAATAAATAACAATGTAATAATAAATGTATTTCTTTCTGCAGTTAGAATAGTCACTCAAATAAAGTGCAAAGTTACCTGTAGAGTAATCAGTCTGATGATGGTTGTATTCTGTGATTAAGGTTATGCACTACACTGTTTGCACAAAAACAGCATTTAGATGCAAGTTGATGCTTTGTGGTTTTTTGCAGGTTTCCTCAGGAGGCACTCTCAGGTTAAAAGAAACTCTCTCTCTCTCTCTCCCCTTCTGCCTCTCTGCCTATCTCCAGTTCACTGGGTCACCTTTGTGACACTTTTCATTTCTGCATAAGGACATAACATTAGTCGAGCTGGATGTTTATGACAGTTTCAGTTCCCTCAGCGAAATACGAGGCCCCTGCTAAATCCCTCAATCATTTATGACAGAACTCGTACAGGGCTGTGTGATGCGAGCTCTCTGCTGGTTTCTGTTCAAGGCTGCAGAAAGAAGACTCATGCTTTTACACGTGGGTCTGACGTTGATTAGCCACCTCTGGGGGCAAACAACATCTGGAAAGGCAGAGTTTAGAACAAGCAGCTATTGGACATCGGGGAGCTGTTTCATCGCCTTACAAAAATGTCTGTTTTTATGATTTTTTTTCTGTCTGCAGTTACATGGCTACAGGGGCAAGGATCCGCTTGGTCTGCAGATCTTCATCGGTACGGCCGATGAGCGCATCCTGAAGCCCCACGCCTTTTATCAAGTCCACCGCATCACTGGCAAGACGGTTACGACCACCAGCTATGAGAAGATTATCCACGGCACCAAAGTCCTTGAAATCCCCCTGGAGCCAAAGAACAACATGAAAGCAATGTGAGAATATGATAAAGCATGTTTGATTTCTGAATGATTTAACATCTTCCTGTAACATCTTCCCCTTCCATCAATTATCTATCGTCACTTTTGCTTTCATATTTATCCCTTCTCACAGAATCGACTGTGCTGGGATCCTGAAGCTCCGGAACGCCGACATTGAGCTGAGGAAGGGCGAGACGGACGTCGGTCGGAAAAACACCCGCGTTCGTCTTGTGTTTCGTGTGCACATACCTCAGCCTGGAGGACAGCACGTCTCTCTCCAAGTGGCCTCGCATCCTATCGAGTGCTGTAAGCCCCTACACATTTAACACAGATATGGTTTTTGTGCTATTTCACCTCACCTTGAGTCCTGATACAGTGCAGGGTTAATTAATTCTCCGTGTGTGCTTCCTGCTGATGTTTTCATCAGATAACAAACAACTTTACACAAAACAAACATCATAAAAAAAGGAAACCACATTCAAATGAGTCTGGGGCTGAGCTGATAGTCCAGACTCCTGTGCACAAAGATGTCTTTATGCATCCAGGGCTTCCATCCAGTAGGTGGGCGCTGCATGTGTCAGTGTCTTTGTACCTGTTTGTATGTGCGCAGTAGTAAAGTCTGTGTTTGGGTACATCAGTGCATGTGTACACAGTGTTATTAAAGCACCTGTTGTAATCAAAACTCAAACAAGAAGTGCCTTTATCTAACACCCTGGTCAAGACATAACATTCATCATATCAGTGTGACACAGTCTGCGTGCAATATGCTCCTGTCATTGTAAAAACTCATGACGCAGAATATAGTATCATTTTATAACAGCCGTTTCCCATCTGTTTTCCGATCACAGAAAGGGCAGAACAATAGGTAGTACCCGTCTATTGGAAGATGAACTTCAGAACAATCGCTGCGCAGCACAAAACAGATCAAGCGTAAAGTTGCTTACAGTGAAGCCTGCGGTACATCTGTCAGGCCCGCTGATAAGCAGACTGTCAGTGATGGTGTGTTTGAGGAGGCAGGGTCCCTGCTGGTGTCATCCACTTTGTTCTATCATCTCACGGTGTAGTAGGGCGAACACTCCCGCTCAAAGGTCATGGGGGCGGTTTGTTGATGCCTCAGTGAGTGGGGAGTTTCAGCTGAACTAATGGGTGATAAAAAAGCTACAGGATGAGAAAGTCCAGTGTATCTACGAAGCTGATAGCTACAGTCCTAATGTCAGTGACCCTAACCACTGAAAATACACTATTCTCCTTTCCTTTTATTGTATATATTCTGTATCAGCTTGTTCAAACTCTAGTATACTCATATTCCATTAAATGGCGATATATCGTGCACCTTTCACAAAACTTACATGGACAGTTTGGGATCTCCACTAGAATTGTCCAACAATGTGAGTTTTTAATGACTCTGTGACAAACATTTTAAGCGTCACATGCAGTAGGTAGTGTTTATTGCAGGGCTGTTTTACCAGATTACATCAGACTTTTAGCTGTTCCTCTTATTTTGCCCCTTCCTGTACAGTACTTTGCTGTATTTAGGCCGAGGCAGTCTCCCTTGTTACCTCTCCTAAGTTGGGCTTTTACAGATTCATATTGCTGTTTGTTAAAATTGAAAGCCAGGGTTATTATTGTTGAATGACTCAGCCTGACGCCTTTATTGTAAACCACCGTTGCTTCTTGTTAATAAGTAGTCGTGCAATTGTGGGAAATCAATCAATGCAAAGCGACTTGTTTTCTGACTTTAGTTTTGGGTGGCAACTATTGTTTTCACTATTGATTATTCTGCAGATTACTTGTGTGATTTGTACGCTAATCGTTCAGTTTATGAAATCTTAAAAAAATTACATTCGCTACTGCCTGAATGTGCAATCTTCAAATGTCTTGTTTTTTCCGACCAACAGTACAAAGCCGTAAGTGAGAAAAGCAGTAAATGCTGACATTGGACAAACTGAATTTAGCATTTTTATATTATATTATATTAAATAACCATAACAATTAACCAAATATCATTATTTTTCTGTCGACCGACAGCTCTACTGTAGTTAAATGCTACTTCATGTGCTAAATATGAGTGCTTACTTATGTTACAGTAGATTGGCAGTAAATGTAACACACCGCCCTTCTGTGTGTCCCGGCAGCCCAGCGTTCAGCACATGAGCTTCCCATGGTGGAGAAGCAGGACATGGACAGCTGCTCTGTTCTGGGAGGCCAGCAGATGATCCTGACTGGGCAAAACTTCAGCTCCGATTCTAAGGTCATTTTTACGGAGAAAAACCAGGGTGAGTGGCATCGAATCTTTCCCCTATCCTCACTCACAACCTGTGGGAGTTATTTTCTGTTTTCAAACCAGATGGTTTGGGGCAACATTTAGGTGAACCACAAAGACATACATTGCCTGGAAACCTATGACTGAATCTATGAAATCTTTATGGTCTGTGCGTCTGTTAGTTCTGCTATTACACAACACAGTGTCACAGTAACACCAATGCACTAGTGATACCTAATGACTCATAAGCAACCATGTTTGTGTAACAAGTTCATAGCTTTTACATTTCACCGCCACTGAATTGATGGAGCCACATGAGTTATTTGCATGATCCTAATGATAACACTGCAGCCTCACTTCCTTTTGCCCTTTTCTTCCTCACTGACTTCCATGATGTCTTATCACTACTCATATGGGCCTTTTGTTGTATGATTAATAGTTCTGTGTGACACATGAAAGGTTGCTTAATGTGCAGTTGTGATGAGCCTGACACTTGGAATGAAAGGATTTGTTTTCATAACCCTAAAACCTTACATGCATCTTTTACTAAGTAGTTAGTAGGAATACTTGAAGTAGATGCCCTTTTTTTCTAATCTTCTATTGAAAGTTACAAGCCCAAATGAAATGATTTTACCATTATTGGTACAATTTGATGCCTTCGTGTCACTTTCCCTCCTCCACAGCCTGGCTCTGGGTTGTGTCAGTTTTTTTAGGAGTGAGTTGTTTTACATTTATATCAAGGAACTATTGAAGGTAGGTTTGTGTTTGCCTGCCATTAGTCACCACCGGTTCTGATTTTGTTGTTCTCAGCTTCTGGCTGCTACTCAAAGGGTCTGTTGGATGGACTTTTATGTTAAAATACTTGTCTGATATTGTGACTCACTTACTCCACTGCTTTCTGAGAGAGGAGTGCTTCGCTTTTTAAATGCAGGCACTTGACAGGCCACCTCAACTAAAACTTGGACCCGCAGGCCCCGGCTACTTTCTTGGGTTTTTTTTGCTTCTCCGGGGTTCCCTACTGCTGTGTTACGACACAGCACAGTAATGGATAGTAAGACAGAGACGGAAAAAGAAATCTTACCAAGAGGGATTGCCATTGTTTTGGAGAGTTTCTGTATGACACAAAGTTCTGGACCAGTGCAGCTGTGAAATCCCTCTGAATGAGAGACAGCTGCCTCTGGCTGGAGCTCCCCTGGCTCTTGTGCTCGGACAGGGAGGGTTGTTCTGAGGAAAGGAAACCTTCCCCCGGCCAAGTCAAGTCAGGCTTTCTCTCCAGCTTTCTCTCGCTCCCCCTTTCCACCTCCGCACACAATTATCTCCAGAGTGAGAACCAGAATCGGGGTATCCCTTAGAGTACACTTGCAACAAAGCGCAAACAAATACAAACACCAAGAAAAAGCAGTAGTCATCACGTTTTGTTAGAGACGCGGAGAGAGTTGATCATAAAAATAAAGTTTAGAAAAAAACACCAAGAAAAGTTGGCGAGAGGTGTGGAATCCCCCTTCCTCCTGCTGACTCATTTAAGCCATGTGTTTTTAATTTACAATTTGACAGAGGGTTTCCCACCTACAGTAACATTTAAACAGAGCTCACTGCAGCACGTGTCATATCATGTGTTAGGGCATGTGGAGTTTACATTAACGGGCCCATTTGGTTTTCTACTTCTCCACCTAAGTGACAATTTAAATGTAATCTGATGAAGTGTGATGTAACACAACATCAACCATAATCCCTTGCCGTTCCCGTCACATCCCTGCTAATGTCGGGTTTCTGTCAGCATTCGACAGCAGACAGGTCTTTCACGGCCACGTCTCTCTGATTAATGGCTGACTGTTGGTGTGTTTGGGGTAAACCTACGCATCATCTTTATCTGTTAGTGTGCTTGTCGGTGTAAGAGGAAGTGGTTTTAAAAGTGATATTATCTACGTGCACAAAGAGGCTTTTTCTGTCCACATGTATTTCAAATTAAATAGGAGACATGTTGACAGACAGGCGTCATGTTGGGTACAAATCTACTGCATAGAGCTGGATTCGAATTAGTGAAATAAAATAAACAAAAATTGCTTTGAGAGAAACAGAGAGAATTGAGAATAAGGTGATTTCAAGGATTCAGCACTTTCCAAATTTACAGCCTAAAGACTTGCAGAATTATCCCACTGTCTAGTACATCTTGAAACAATCAACTGTACTTACTTTACTGCAGAGTTAATTACCACATTGTTTAACATTAGGTTTTCGCTTTCTCTCTTTAATTGCTTTCTAGATGGGCAGCAAATCTGGGAAATGGAAGCAACAGTGGACAAAGATAAGAGCCAGCCAGTATGTATCATGCATTGTTACTGTTACTCACATACTTGTATGACGCCTGTAAAACACACCAAACATATCAAATGTCATGATCTAGAAGTTGAGGTCGAACAAAAAGATTCCATTTCAGTACATATTCACTGTCTCTCTGTGTAGAGTATGCTGTTTGTGGAGGTGCCGTCCTACCAAGACACGTCTGTCTGTCATTCTGTCAAAGTGAACTTCTACGTCATTAACGGCAAGAGGAAGCGCAGCCAGCCTCAACATTTCACCTACACACCACTGGCATGTAAGAATACTGCTCAGCCTCTTTGTGATATGCCTATATCATACTATGGGATGTAAATGTATGGCGATCAGATAATTATTGTGTGTGAAAATCTTTGATCTTTAAAGTACATACTACTTCCTCTCATTATATTTACAGCTATATCTTTAATTGTTCACCTTCCGTACAGGTCCATCCATCAAGACAGAGCCTTTAGATGAGTATGAAGCAGATCACATGGGTTTTGCCATGCCCCAGATCTTGGGCTTATCCCCTCATTCCTACTACCACAACCAACGTACCGTCCTCCATCTAGACAATGGCCTGGTCCCCGGCATGGCCTCATGCCAGCGTCTCAGCTCCAGCCTTCCAAGCCAAGATTCACGTTTCCAGCAGCAGAGCCCAGCCATCGTCTACTCCCGCGGGGGCAAGAGTTTAAGCAGCAGCCCTGGCCTTTATCAGCAGACTGGAGTGATGATGCCCGACCCCCATCGGTCAGTCCTAGTTCACACCGGCTCCCCGGCTCAGTCTGTAGGTCCCCTCGGTGCAGGCCAGCACCCTTCCATTATCCAGTTTTCTCCCACCAACCAACACCTGCTTCGGGCAGGAGACCCTCAAGCTCTAACCCCTCCGCAGCCTGACAGCCAGCAGATCATCTACTGCGATGGCTACTCCCCACAGGCAGCCGCTGCCCACTCACCCACACCCCCCCAAACTCAGGCAGCAGTGACCCACACTCAGCACTATCCCACCGTGATCCAGCAGCAGTCCTTCGCACAGAAGGGGCAGCAGAAAGGCCGGGCTCCACCCGGTACAGAGCAGATGGAGGCTCCAGGAGACGGACAGAGGAGGGTGACAGTCAAGGAGGAGAACTTGGACCAGGCCTACCTAGATGATGGTGAGTGTAAGTTAATGCTTTCATACTCTGCGTGAGTGGGATTGTTGTGTCATTCATAGTGTGTTTTTATCAGCCATGTGTAATGGGGTGAAAGAAATGATGGATATGAGGAATTCCCTTTTTTGAATGAGATGGCTGATAAGACCCGCCAACAGAGAGACTTTTTCCTAAGAACAATTAAAGGATATTTACAGTAGCTGCACCATCTCCTTTGCACACATCCCGGTTTGATCTATGTGCTGTAGTATCCCTTTGAACAAAGCCAACAGAACAAGCTCACACTGTTAAAACAATCCTCGCCAGGACGTGTAGTTATGTTCCACTCAAGGTGGAAATAACAGGGATTATGAGTCATATGTTTATACTTATGCTTGTCAACCCTATTACCCTCTAACAGAATTAATGTCAGTCCACATCCAGCAGCAGGCGGGAGGCTGAACCTCTTCCTTACTTTGGAGTTAAAGGTTCTCCAAACTATATTGTGTTTAACAATATACAGTGGTAGTGTATTTTTCTGTTCTTCAGTCTGTGTCAGCCAGGTGAGTTTTAAAGGCAGTTTGTTGCCCATTCAACAATCTGCTGGTCGCAGGGGTTTGCTTGGCACCGCTACACATCAGGAAATGAGCTTTTTTCTCTCTCTTTCGCATTAAAGAGAGCGGGAGGGAGAAAAAAGTGTCACTCTCCTGACCGCCTGGACATGTTGACACTGTTATGAAGTGAAAAACAACTTCCATGGCAACCATTGTCAAACAGTGGAACGGGCTGCCTGGGAGAGCTGGGGAAAGCCTCTTTGTTTGTTATAGTTGGCCGGGGCTTCTCCTTGGCCTTACGCCCCTCGATTCTGTGGGGGAACCCACCAGAGGATTAGCTTTTTTTCCGACCACGAGATTCTGCCAATCTGGCACAAGAAATTCCTATTTGCAGCTGCTCTCCTCCAGAAATCCAGCCTGATCCCTGTAAGATAGCGGGAGGGTGGAGGAGGGTAGTTCGCAGGAAAAAGGAAGGGGCTGTGTGCGTGTATGTGTGTGTTTCAATGGAAAAAATTAAACGAAGAAAAAAGGCCAGCAATGGAATTTGTGTTTTTTGGATGGAACCTGCAGGGTTTCCCTCCGCAGTAAACAGCAACAGGGCTGTGAGTTAGTGAATTAACAAGGAGTTAGAGGAACAGTCAAACTGGGCCTGCTGTTTGATCCTCCCAGCATCATAAGGTGATGATGGCCAGTCAGCCTCCCAAGGTGCCTCTGCATCTTTCTTTAATTTGAGTTTTTATTCAAATTACCTTTTCCCTGGAAATCTCATAAAAAACGAATTGCAGAATTAGCAGTTACTTCTTTTTAATTGCCTTCTTTTATCCCAAGAACTGCAGGCACTTTTATTATTTTAAAAATACAGTATTATCTTCTATACTACCACATCCCTGAATGTTAAAACCTTATTTATAACGCATTCAACTTTGCATTTGGATAGTGTGCCCCCTGCTTATCACTCCTACAGGTGACAATCCACCTACCCACATCATTTAATGAGAAAAAATTGGGGACTTCCCGATATTCAAAATATTTTTTTTTTAGACAAAGGGTGAGAAGATAAGCGTGGTCCAAAAAACCCCCCCTGTATTTGCCTGCAAATGTGTTGAAGTATGATCCTGACCACAAAACAATCATTTAAGCTGGGACTATCAAACACATTTTGACAAGTGAGATTGTCAACATTACTCATTGAGACATGTGTTTCAGTCTGTAGTCATTTTTGAAAAAAGGATGAAGCCACATCCTGGTATCGTCACAGTGTTGTGGTCGATAACTGTCACATCTCCGAGATACCTGAACTGTGTCAACTTTAGTGAAGAGTGCTAAGATGAACATCAGGTATTTCTTATTCTGTATGAAATCTTTGCTCTCCCACGCAGAGGGCACGTATCTTCAGCCCTCACGCAGGTTCCCATGCCTCCTGGGTCGGTGCTCGAACAAAGCCTGTTGATTGATATTTGCATTTATTGATTTATTTATTGTGTCTGTTCCACAGAAAAAAATACTAGTGGGAGTCTGCCTTGCCAAAGTAAAGAATGTCTGGCATAGCTCACTGCCTGCCACATAGTTTGTGAAAACAGAAGAAGAGCCAATGGCATAGCCTACAAAGGCGGAGAGTGACAGATTTAGTGGGTGTGGAATAAAGCCCAGAGGCAGTGGAGCAGGTGAAATTGTTCCAGCAGGTAGAGATCAGGGCAGGAGAGATAAAGCACACAGCAACAGCCTGGTGGACACACATTAGTCTCAGCTCACTTCCATCCCATTGGAAAGGCTTGATCAAATACACAACTTATCTGTATCCACACAGTGCTACAACCGTAGTGATGAGACAACTTATATTGTTTGATCCACAGCGTGCAAGTCGTTTCAGTAAGTTTGTTCATCTATGTAGACTTTTGTATTTGTCAGCCTCTTAAGTGAGAGGTATTGGGGATCTATTCCAAATACATTTACACTGTAAGACAAGGGGGGATCAAATCCACAGTCCTTCTATACTATAAGACTGAGAGTCTGCAGCCACACAACTGTGAGGCTTCATTTACTGTAGGCATAGCAGTGCTATAAGCTAATGCAATTTGATGATAAGTTGTAAAGTCAGAGGATCACAAAGAGGGAATTTTGTACTTGAAATACCAAATACCCAGTTGGTAAAGCTAACTCTGACTCACATAGTAGCTTCAGTTGAACTCTGAAATACATTTTTGCACAAAGACGGAGGAATTGAATTTATTTCCCCTTTCCTTTCATTGGCATCATATTAAAAAAGGGATTGTCTGACAGCCAGCAAAGAGAGAAGGAACTATAACAGCAACCAATAACTCTTTCACTGTACAGACGGGTGTGTGAGCTCAGTTTGAAGACTCGTGAGCACTAGCACACCGGATCTGTGGTTAGATTGGTGGTTAGCTGTCAGTCCACTTACTCTACTTTCTCCTTTCTCTCTAAGGTTTCTAGCATCATGCTGTCATTACAATCCCCTCATCAGCCCCTCTCGAATCTATTCAGTCATAAACAACCCATGAACACAATGCACCCTTCTACAAACACACACACACACACACACACACACACACACACACACTGTATTAACATGCAAATACTTGCAGACACATAAACACACACATTCCAGCTCACAGCAGGCCGTGTGCAGTGACTGAGTCAGCTACTGTACAGGGTGTCTCTCTCTCTCTCCCCTCTCACCGTCAGTAAACAGTGCAGCTCATTGGTGCAGAACTCAGGAGCCAGACACTCACCTATTGAACAGACTAGGCCGAGTGTTCCCCGGGCCAGCCTCAAATAGCCGGTCCGTGCCAACCCTTCATTAGATTCAGTAAAGCCCCACTGTATGTTGTCCTACTGCGGCGCTCCTGCTGCTTCTCTGAGCTTGTTTTATGCTCAGGAAAAATCCTGTGGCCCTGCTGGGGAGATGAAAGTTTCTTTAAGGCATTAGGTGTCAGAGGGAATTCCACTACAGACTAAAATAAACAGGGACGCTGATGTTGTGACGACAGCAGAGCACCCAGTTTGGCCGCTCCTGCAGTTTTGCAACTCTCAGATGCTGCTCCGGCTATAAAATGTGCTCAGTGTTGCGGGCTGTGGCGGGTTGTTTCTCTTTCACATCTGCAAATGATCAGAAGGAAAGGCTGTGGAGAGACATAAAGAGAGACAGACAAAGATTTGTTTGTTGGATGGAAAATAATCTTTGTCTGACTGCTTGATTAGATTTAAAAACACTTCTCTGCAACCGTGGGTGCTACTTCATCACGTCAGTTATAAATAATATCTTCTGTCCGTTGATTCGTTTGCTTTTATTTATACCTCGTGACTGCTAGTCTTGAATAAGAATATGCCATCCCCTTGCAACAGTTTTTTTTTAGCTTATTTAGTGGCGAGGTGTAAGTGAGATCGTGTCCGATTTAATTTCATATGGGTTTTAATAGTTGCACCCTTTGTCTCGCCTTTATGTAAATCAAGGCTTTAAATAGAGCTAACATAAGCCCTTTCTCTTCTAGTTGAAGAATAAAGTTCCTCTACCTCTATAATAAGACAGTTCAGGGTAGCAATATGCAGTATTTTGTATAGCTGGTGGTTCTTTCAGTGGTGAATCATCTTCACATTGTTCATCTTTCCTTCATTCTGCTGAGTTTAAGGGAATAGTGAGAGTTAAAGTAGTTGAGAAGATCAATACCTCTCATATTGGTCTGTTAAATATGAGACTACTGCCAGCAGCCCATTAGCTTAGCTTAGTTAAAATAAAATAAAGATCTACAGAGCCCTGGTTGCTGTTTCTCCGTTTCCAGTCTTTATGTGAAGCTAAGCTAATCGGCCACTGGCTGTACCTTTATATTTAGCATACAGAGAGGGGTATCGATCTTTTCCTCTAACCCTCAGCAAGAAAGCAAATAATCAAATTATTAAAATGTCGAAACATTAAACAAAACAGAAAACACCTTTTTTTTTAAAAAAAAACATTACACAGCAAAAAAAAAAATGTGTACGCTAATAACTTTTAACAGCTGCTGATGATCAGATTTTCACACGTACATTTTTATTTTATTTGAATAACCCGAGTGAAGCCCATTACCATGGTTACAAAATCACAGACACGATACGTTCTGTAATGGCTTGGTTACAGGCAAAGAGCTTTTTTGGCCCACTTTGAAATACTTATATTACTCATCGACCCTAATGAGTTCCCCCAGGCACGGTGGAAGCAGTGGCACCAGCCTATAATGTCTCCAAGTGCCAGTGTACACAGACATACACACATTAGGCTTCCAGGCCCGGGCTCCCAGATTAACATCAGACACAGGCGGTGTGGCATGTCTGGAGAGATGACACGTTACACATTCTCATCATTCCTGCCTGTGTGCTGAAGAACTACCTGTCGATAGCATGACTTCTTCTGACCGTGTTTAAACAGAAGTGAGCACGTGTACTGGCAGCCACAGGTAGTCACATTTCCTCTTCACCTTGCCGCATGGTTGTCAGTGCTTATTTTCTCAGCACATACACACACGACAAAGAAGCTTCAAACACTCACATGTTTGCAAATGTAATGATTCTCAATTATTCAACCAGATATTCAGTATATTTTATTTTCAGTGCGTTACGCAGGTGTTATGCCCTCCTGCTGCAGATCATGATCCTATTTTTAGAACCATGACACTGAAAGTTTCCATTTCAACCCTCTTCCTCTTCTGTTGATGTGTATGTATACACACACTTGTAATCATCCCAGCAACAGGAAGTAATCGCTTATAGGGCCTTGTATAGCTCTACCCCTAGTGGTTACTCGACATTAATGCAGCCTTTATCTGCCTTCCATCAACACCCTGCACAGCCACGTCAATCAGACCGTAACGCCTCTCTGTCAACAATATTTCAGGAATATAATCAATATAATGAAATAATCAATAATCAGGAGGGTTATGTTTTAACACTATGTTTGAATCTTGTTGTAAAAATACTTCCATTGATCGTATCACTGTCTAACATCCCTCTTTCTTTGCTTTACAGTGAATGAGATCATAAGAAAGGATCTGACAGGCGTTCAGGCCAGAGGGCAGACATAAAGGAGGGACCTGGACAGGAAATGACAACATACACCCAACCCCCCATCCCCCCAACCCCCAAGACATGTAGACACACACGCACACTCGCACAGTCCTCAGCCTTCCAATGAGGTGACACACATCCACCAACAATCAGACTTTCTCTTCCTTATTTTCTTTACCCATTGAGATAGAAAATATCAGCTCCTGCGACTGCTGTGTTTGCTTTGGATGTATTCCTGCAATAAATAGTTTCATTTGGCAAAGAGAACAATTATTTGACCCATAACGTCAACACCAACACCCCAGCAGGTTTCCAACAAACTGATGAGAAACAACAGGGGAATGTGCCTTATTGTTCTGATTTTCTTTCCTGGTTGAAGTTTGGATACCGATTGGTTTACGAAAGAGACAAAAATGGGGGAAATAACCTCCCTAAAATGGCATTAGCCATACAGTCCAGGCAATAAATTCACACCTGTTTGCCTCCTACATGTTTGCCTCATACTAGTGAATGAAGGTTATGTAGCATACAGCAGCTTCAGATTTATGAAATGTCTTATTAAAGAAAGTTAATATCATACCAAAAAATAAGCCTAAATAAAGTATAACAAATATCACTTATGGCCAAAAGCTTAGCATCTTTTTGTTGAATTCTTCTTGCACAAAGTGTGTATTTTGTCTGTGTGTATCTTCATATGCAGTTTTACATGAAAAGGTTGTCCTAAGCTTTACATGCTGATCATCTCATTTTAAGTGCAGTTTTCTAATTCAAAGTGCACACCTGCCTTAACCTTAATATACAAATGAACTATTGTGACACCTCCTAATATGCACTGTTTTTAATAACAGGGGGTCATTGTTATTACTTTTTTAATAATATTTGAGTCATGTGAATAATGTACCATTTTATATTCGTAAAATATATATTGCATTATATTCAGGTGATAATGCCAAAGTGGCTTCACAGGAGCCTGTGATGCTTCAGCGATAGCATAGGTGTGCAGTTTTATATGATTTCTATGCGCGAGCTGATTTTTATTTTGTTGATCTTGCATTGAAAATGATTTTAAAATGTAGCTGAAGTCTGGCTCATGCAAGTTGACATGAGAGATTTTGTACACTCAGATTTAAAGGTGGTCTTCTTGCTTTTTAAATCATTTTTTGGTCTGTTGTATTTGCATTGCTCTTACTGCTGATTGTGATAACATCTGTGGTGGTCTCCACAGTCCAAAACAAAATATTCCAAAGCTTGTGTTGTGTGTATTGTTTTGTGAACAGTTGAATTTTTGTCCATAATGACAACCAGTATACTCAAAGCTAAATGCCTGCCTATGCAGAAGCTTCATGCTTGCTGATGTAAAGCACACATTTTAGTTTCTGTACTTGGCATTATACTTTATATGCACTGTAAGCACAGTAGGGAAATACAGTGTGTGTAACTCATGTGCTATTACAGCTTGCTTTGATGAAGAAAGCAGTAGTTTAAATAAATATTTTTGTAATATAGTAATATTTCATTCACTAAATTGGAGTACATTAAAAGTGCCATTTGTATGATTGTAAATGAAGAGAATTATAAGAGAATAATGTTGCAAGTGAAGTAAAGTGGTGTAAAAAAAACCATAATAGCAAGAAAAAGACTGTAATACTGAATCTCAATGTTTAATATTTGATATGGACCTATTTCATAGAAAATAAGATTTTATTTTGTAATATTAGTAAAGATAATATTGATCTATTAATGATATCTCCCATTGAGCCAGTACAGCACAAGTGCATTTGACATTTCTTGAATGTAATCTATATTAAATAGTTTTTTCCCCTTTTCTGTAAATATTAGATACAGAGTGTGAGTGTCCATGTGTTACGATAGAGTTTGAGTAGACTGAAATATAAACAGTTTGTTGTCTGTCATGTATCTATCTCTGTTTTTTGTGTTTATAATATTCACAATGTCATAGTTATCCTCATTTTTATCTGTTTTATTGCAATGTAAAACTTTTTCTGAAGGGAATTAAGATACACCTAAAACCTTTAAGTCGCCCCCTAATAGGTTATATTTTTGTTTATGCATCTGTTATTATTATTTTACAATCTTTAAAGAAATCTTTGGTAATGAAGAGGTTATTAATACTGTCTTATTTTATTTTTCTGTGTTGATAGTTGTCATGTATTTGTTTTATTTTGAGTCTGCTACACTTTGTGCCTCCTTTAAAAAGTTTCTGTTTCATGCTATTTTTGTATCCTTAAAAAGTAGCAATAAATAATAACCATATACATCATGTTTGTCCTTGTTTTAGTGCATCATTCCTCTGCATTTACTGCCATTAATGACAGAAGGAACATTTAACCTTACACCAAAGATGAGGGTTGTCTCTCCACTCTCTGTGCTGCCTATTATGAGAGGAAAATCGAAAATTAGCAGATCCACAGTAGACAGTGACTCATCAATTGCTCCCCTCCTGTCCTCAGGCAGGAGCAGGCAGACTCACAGGAGACCCGACATGTTTGTTTATAATTAATACAACATAAAAATACTCAGAACTTAAAGTCTAACCTAATAAAATCATAAAATGATGTCCTATTTACACAGGCGCACGTGTCTGTGTACAGTACACACACAGAGATCCAAAAACCATTCCTCCCTCAAACAGCAAATAACAACAAGAAGAAGGGGACTCACATCCCCGGAGGCTGTAGTTGCTATGGAGACCGCTTGTTTGGTGTCGGGAGGAGGGCTCTGTGAATGAACCTTGTGTTCAGGAAGTCTCTGGTTATGACATCACCACGGGAGAAAAAGCAGCACGTGGGCTTCTCTGCATGAGTCGTCTCATACAGCCCACTCATACAGATATGCCACGATGACTCATGCGCCCTTTAGCACTCGATGGTGTAATGAGTTCGGACCGCATACAGATTTACTGTGTGAAATCGAACAAGAATGAACTACATGATGAGCTTGGCATTTCATTCAGCTCGCCTTTGTGTTATTTAAAAAAAATAATAATAAAAGACTGAGCTCATCCTGACACAGAGGGCATCGAGCTTTAACTTGGCCACAACATTAGCACTGCTTAAATTGTAAATTCAATCCCACACATGAATTAAAATAATCATGTCCAAAGCTGAGCTGGCTGTGTTACTTGTTATACTAACATTTCATTCCACCATTCGTGTGTCTTGATATGGTGTTAAAAGTGGAAAAAAGTATATTAAAAAGTGACAGGGTCAGCTGCAGAGCAACCGTATAATGGGCTGTTTGTGTGGAATAAAGATGACATTGTCCATTTGCAGACTCTTCTGAACACTCATTTTCTCAGAGACATGAGTCAGTTTCCTGAGCTTCAGGTGTGTAAATGCCCTGCTGAATGCCATAGTAGGGAGTCTTATTGAAGTTAGGTGGAGCACAGATGGATGAAATTTGCATCAAAACATTATCCAAATACAGGCAGCAATCGTTGATCTGAATGATGAATAATGTTATTGCTTAGTTGCTGTCTTCATTCCAATAAAAACAACAATCCAATTTAACGTAATCTTAGTTTTGACACACAAGAGAAACAACTCAGACTAACTCAAAGAAAAATGCAGGACACAGTCTGATGATAAATATATGATTGCAGAAAAGTCAAGACAAACACTGTATGTACAATCATACAATTGTATGTCCATACTCTGTATTATAGTGACAACTAGTGTAGCAAGAGGAAAGTAAAAGTAAGTGGTGAGCTCTGCTAACGGCCTGCAGAGGGAGTAGAGAACTTGTGAATGTAATTCAGAGGTACAAAAGAGCCGTTAAACAGCCCTCCACCGGCATCAAGAGACAATTACTGAGGTACATTATCAAACAGAAGTGCTCCCTCTGTGGAGTAATGGGAATACTTCACTGTGTATTTTTACCACTGAACTGGGAGATTCAGTCACTTCAGAATTGCAAATTAAATCTAATGAAGCACATCATCAGCGGCTTACAAAAGATTCTTTGACAAAACAGCTGTATCTTTTCTAAAGCCATTTTAACATTTCTTCAATTGCATCGCATTTAACCATTTAATAAGTTGTAATGAAATTCTTAAATAGATTTTCTTTAAGCATGTAATCAGTCTGTTAAAGACAGGCCCATTAAGTGCAACTGGTGAAGAAATTAAGAAAGAAAGCCTGAATTATATTGCCTTAGCAGAGGCACGGTTTCTTTTGGATCAGGAGGAAGCCTGGGAATTATATAAAGGAGCAGACAAAGAAGCAAAAACTGCTCTCACAAGCATTGTAGAACCTCTTTATCTTCGGCTAGTGGTGCACAGTCATTCGTGTGTTTTGGAAGTAAAATATGCATTTGTGAGGACCAGTCTGAGTTAGTTAATCGTACCATGTAAAAGAACATTTTATAATTAATATCATGGCAGCATCAGCCAGCGAGTCTTAGTACGGACTGGCAAGAATATGGGTGTTGATAAAGGGTCTCCTATGTTGTTAAGATTGCAAAACCCTTCGATGAAAATCTGTGAGTTTGGGACCAAGAAAGTTTCAGTGTCCATGAGAGACAAACCACTTCAACTAAACATATTTTACAGTCATAGCTACAAACTATTGCAGCTTTTTCTGGCCTCCATAAGGTCCAAATCAGGAACTGAGCTACAGGCATGATCTGTGAGTGCACTGGGATGCTTATAAATTAAGTGAAATGATACCATTAACATTACAGCTAATTTCTCAGTTTAATCTGCAACATTTCTTTGTTCTGTATCATTTAAAAGTATAGTTTATTGTATTAAATAACACAGATTAAATTAGGGCTTAATGAGCTCCCCCTATAAATCCTGATAAGCTGGTTATGATTACTTATAATGTATTGGTAAGGCAATGCCTATTATAGCCAACATACAGATAACACACAGGACAGAAAAACAGTAATGATACTGTAATTAAAAATACAGTAATAACACTGTGGCAAATCAACATGTCACAATAGCAGCTCCAGTTATTTTAAGTATACAACTGTCAAACTGATAAAACGTCCTCAAGCAGAGCACCCTTTACAATGACAAAACAAAAGCAGACAAACCGTCCAAACATAATGGTTTATTATTATCTATTATAACCAGTTGGTGAAAAGCCACTCTTGCTCTGAGGTCAACAGTGACATCAGCTCTGAAGTGGCCCTGACGCTCATTAAGTCAGAGGAAACAACAGGCTCCAGTGGTAAATACAGCTGCCGCCCACCACCAACACAAGCAACACACTGCTCCATACTTCATTTCTTTAGTTCTCTCCACCGGCACCGGTGTCAGAGTTCCTGCGTTTACATAATGCTTCCTTCTCGCTGCAGTCCACTCCTGACAGGGGAATAATTGGGAGGATATTCATAGAAAATGTTCATTTTAAAGCAAATAAATTATAAGACCTCATCAGTCTGTGTGGTAGATGTGAATATTGGAATTTTTTAAAGCTGCTGCATTGGCAGATTTTTTTTGCAGTTAGAGTACTGCAGTGGGATGTTTTATTATAGTTATAATAACACACCCAGATTGAAACTAACAGATATCATAAATCTACTTCCTGGACTTATCTACAGGAGTTTTTTTCTCTCTCGCGCGCTTTTAAGAGTTCCCCTAAACATGTCTCATATTGCTACTTCGCTTTGGACCATAATTTCCTGTGTTTCCCAGAATGACTTTCAGCAACTAGCAGTGGGTGTGAACTTGGTGCCTGTAATCAAAGGTGGGTGTACGTGCGTGGGTGCAGGCAAGGTAGTCGACTTGTTTATGAGCATTATGCCGTATGTATCATAACGGGCCTCACCCTTCACACAAAACAAACAGTATCTTTTAGTTGCATTGTTGATGAATACATTTGCATATTTGCTTGTTCTATGATGAATTTCTCTGTCCAGTTGCTATTATATAATTTAACTGTTGTTACAAGAGTAAAATAATGACTCTAAACAGAAGCTCTTGCTCCTTTTTACCAGGCAGCGTGCCTCTAGAGATGGCAAGGATGGTTAGTCTGTTGGTCAGTCCACCACTTTGGTGCAGACGGAAGTATCTAAAAAACCTATTGGATGGACATACATGACATTTTATACACATTTGGAACATTTATACATTCATGAATTTAACAAGCATATAGACTTAGACAATCCCCTGCTACTTTAACCCTAACCATAACCCTAACACCACTAGGTTTTCATTGGCTAGTGAAATATCTCAACATCTACTCAACTGATTGGCTCAAAATGATGTTTAGACAATGTGTCCAAATGACTCTGGCGATCCCTTGACTTTTCCAGCGCCACCTTGAGGTTGATACTTGTGGTTTTAGGTGTCATGTCTCGACACCCCTCAGCTGTAGTTTGTGTTTAGTTATAGTGTGATTGTATCTCTTGAAAAAGAGACCTCGAAACCTTGTGTGGCAGCTGGATTCGCAAGATCACCGTTCCCTGATCTGATTGGTTGAAGTTTTGCTTGTGATAGACTGTGATAGTGACTGTGACAGTAAATATACAAAAGAAAAATACATTTTAAATTACAAAAGGTCAGCTGTTGCTATGCTAACACGCTCAACTATAATCATGACTGATTAACTGCTGAACATAATGCTAGAATTGCCATGATTAGCAAGCTTGCATGTTGAGTTAAGTATTTAGCTAACAGCACCCCTATAGAGCCTCACAGAGCCGCTATATGGATGTAGGCCAGTCTTGTTTTTTTTTTTTTCTAAGGGCTAAAAGGAAACCGGCTGGCTTCAGTTGGTAACCTGGTAACTCCAAAAAATGTCCAATGGAGCTGTAAATAGGCATAATGGCACGCAGTTTATCCACCAAACAACAAAACAATTCTCTAGAAATGCGTCATTCATCATGAGCTCGTTTGTATAAGTGCAAGGTGCAATTTCTTTTAATGATCCTGTGACTTTTACATCGTCCTTGCTGAATGTTGATTGGGACAAATTGGCCCAGAACACTGCAGGTCATTGAACAGCATCGAAAGGTCAGCTGGAGGTTAGGTGCCGTGCACATACATACA